AAGCATTCAGCATAACATATAATGAATATCTACTTATTCTGTGCAGGGTTTCACAAAACTGCAAAGTATGATTTTTCATTAAGCACACCTATGTGAATAAGCATATACTATGTGGAAACATGGAATTGGAGAATTTTTATATTCCATAGCTTCCATATTTTAATACGTTTTTCAGTAGTTGAGCTCTCTTTTCACGATGTCATGAAGTTGTACTGTATCGCTCAACATACTTTATGATGCTTACTCACGTTTATTTCATGTTATAACTAAAAGTAAAGAGGAAGATCGATGTTTGTAATCTAGCTTATAAACCACTGGCTAGCTAGTGCGCTAATTGACGGTTACAGTAATGCTCGTCAGTAAAAACTAATAAAATCTGCCTTTTCTTTTCCTCAAAAACGATAGCACACACTGTGACAATATAGTTTATAAGTAGATCACCAAAAACTTACCTAATTCTGCAGCCACATTTCAAACACGATCTGACTCTGAAGTTCAGTTCTTTGTCTTCTTCTGGTGATATTTTGTTTAAACCAACCTTCCGCCACCTCTTGGTGCACTTCCGCCATCTACTGGTCTAGAGTTATTAGAGCACATAGTGGGATTTAATCCAACAAACTAGATGCTCTTAAATACTGTTTACTAAAGTTGCTTAGTTTAACTATTGCATCCACCTGAAAGTTCACATAACACAGTGCAATTAAGTAAATTCAACAAATTTGTAAAAATCAGTTATGTTTACTCGCTTTTCTTAAATAGATTCGGTGATTACTTTTTACAGTGTATGTCCTTCTGATTTTCTTCCAGACGGCTCGTATCACTGGACCCTCCCAGTGGTCAATTGTAGTCAACTTGATTTAATATATAAATTAATGGATTACACTTTAATCAGAAAACCAATTAAAACAAACGTTTATCTTGGAGGGATTACACCCACTTTATTTAACACAAGTGAGCACCCGTATAGATAATCCTCCTCAGTCTCTCTCTGACTTCACTTGTTATTGTGACATACGCATACATTAGACATACCTACGTTTATGCTGTTTGACATGCAACAGTTGAGTCAATGAATTCCGAAATTGAATTTGAAGAGGTACCTCAGAAAAAGCCTCTGAGCAGAAGCTCTGAAATTACAGCATGGATGAATGTAGCATCAGTGCTGTTTCTGTCTAACCGCATGTCGCAGCACTCCATAATCTGCCATAATGCTCTATAGAAGGACTCGTACAGGAGAGAGATGCTTTTAAATATCATCGTGCGACATCTACATTCTCAGCACATCCTACATGACTAATTTCAGCGCAATCTTTTGTGTCCACCAAACAGTTCAGCAGCATGCTGGATGCCATGAACCATCAGGAAGCGCTGCGTGAGAGGAAAGGAGCTAATTCTGGATAATTCTATTAAAATCTGAAGTGCTATATACTCGTATATTATAAGAGAATTTGCTGGAGGCAAAGCCGTTGATTTTCCTTACTGTGCTAAAAAGATGATGTTCTTGCTTGGCACAGTTTTTCTATTCAAACCAATGACTTTGTGAAAACGGCAACATCGTAAACCTTCTCCCTCCCCTGACTTGTGTTTGAGATGAAGAGTCATTTGGACTTCAAATTAGAGTCAGGATGCATAAATAATGAGCGCGGGCCAGTTCACAGTGGGAGGGTATCTATATGAGACCTCATTTCATTTGGTCAAACACTCCATAACCCCTCTCTGTTTTATCAGACTGAGCAAACATGGTTCTGATAAAAACTAATGAGTTCCATGTGGTTAATTAACATCATATTATTAAGGTGTAAAGTACTGTGACTGCACATTTGCTAGTCCCTAAAAAGTTGAAAGAGTTTGTGGAAACTCAACATACCATTAAGTAGTGCACTTTTTGAAAATATAGAATATAATATGAACAGAGAAGCTCTGCAGATCTAAATTAGTTTTAAATGTAAAATGTCTCATCCCTGGCTTTACGTTTTTATTCCGAAACACAAGTTGTGTTCTGTGCGTTAAAGTTTAATGAGGGCCAAGGTTCTGTATTTCAAGAAATGTTTCCCTATATGCACTATGCAAATACATAC